AAGAAGTAAAGTACAAACATCGTTAAAGCAAAACAAGGACATTATCCACGCCGGGCATTTATATTTCATAGTGTCTATCTATTTTCTAATTTCTGATTGTTAAGGAAAGTTTTGACACTCCATCGCTCGGTTTTGATTGGTTTTCTTTATTCTGTTCTATGATTGGTCATTGCGGTAGTTTACTAGAACTGGTCGCCATATTAATGTAATCTTCGGGACGTATCTCTACACAGACCGCTATATATGCTATGAATTGTGCTTAAGCAAATCTTCTCTTTTTGTCCGTGATAATTAACCATAATAATGTTTTATTAATCTGTCACCTTTAATTCTTCAATTTAGTGATCCTAGCTTATAATTGAGACTGAATGCACTTGTGTGTTAGATAAAATGAGAGCAGCATTTTGAATGGTTAGATCGCCTTTTGTTCGCTTTGTTTCAACTGCCCATTATGTGCTCTGGCTTGCTCTGGAAAAAGAAAAGAAGTGTTCGTGCATTTGTGTTTGCGTTCAGTGTAAATAGCTCGGCAACTGTTTGCCGAAATGAATACGTTCGTTAAGCGCTATTTTATTATTGTATGTGCGTTCTGTTAGGCTAATAATAGGTCAAGAAGAATCGAGGATAACTTTCGCTCGAACCTAAACGAAAATCTGATTTAAGTTCATTCTCATACAAACCTTCAACGTTTAATAAGATTATACATTGTCTCTTAGCTTCCGAAAAACTTTTTGTTTTATTATTATTCTCTTGCAGTAATCAACATGAGCCGTCCACCAGTTCCACGTCCAAGGTAATTAAACTAACTAAAATTTGTCTTTAATATCAAACTCTTTTTGCACTTTTCAGTGGACTACGACCGCCTGGCAGTTCTTTATTCAATCGACAGTAAGATAGAATGAAGTTTGATTGTTATTTTTTCCTTCAAATTTGATTTTTCTTTAGTTTGGCAAACGTATTAGAAACTCCAATGGAAAGTCAAGTATTGCAGTTTCCTGCTTCTGCTTCCGCTGTTTATCAAGCATACGGATCTGGTAAACAAAACAGATTTATTCGTCCCAATATTCAACAGTAAATTTTAAAAAAAAGTAATAGGTTTTTTTTCTATAATTATTTTTTTCATTCTTATAGAGAATATTCTCGTTTAATGCAAAGCGGTCGTCCTCAAGGACGTCGTCAAGCGGGTTTAGTTGCAGGAAATCAATATATGCAACCGCATACACAAACTAACCAACGGTGAATATTTTTCTGTAATATAAAGAGTTATGCATTTCTATTATTTTCTCCTTTAGCGAAAATACCCGCTGTAGACCACCAATAGTTCAGCCGTTGAAACAACAAAATGTTCAATCGTCACGACAAACCATGCTTCAAGCATCTCGACAAAGTAACCTAGTTAGACAAGTACCCATAACACCTGGCTCACGTGCATCGAATATAGCTCTGCCCAGACGGTAATCAATCAAAAATGATTTTTTTTCTATTCAAACTTTTCAGTCTTTTATTGTTTTGTACTCCAGGTCAGTTTATCCACATGGAATTACAGCGTCCGTTCCAAAACCAACACTTTCCACCCGTCGCGATAGTGTGCGAGCACCACAACAACAAAGTTCTAGAAATACGTAAGATCTAGTATGCAATTTTCTCCTTCGTACCTCCAGTGAATAACAGCTGCTAGGATAGTGGAAGAGAACTTAGAATATAGATAAGTAGGATTCTGTTCTAGCGAATAAGATTATTTGTCAAGCCATGCGTTCCTGACGTTCACGCAGGGCCGTAAATAGGAAATCAACTTTGGAGGAGTGTCAAAAATTTTTAAAGCTTCTAAATTTTTTTGAAGGAGTTTAAGGAAAAAGATTTTAATTTCCGCTGAAAGGATAGGATAAATTTTTATTTTTGGGATGTACATCTCCTATCCATCCCCACAATTTACGGCTCTGCGTTCATGAGACATACTTTTTTGGTTAAGACAAGAGATTATCAAAGTTTTAGGGATAAAACCAAATAATTTATTTTTAAATAGTGTTTGTTTCTTGTTTAAGTCCTTGTTACCTTTTTTGTTACAGGATTTTAGCTCGTGCGTTACATCAAGAAAATTATGAAAATAGCAATACTGAAAACAGGTTTGTGTTCAAATCGAAAAAATATATCTTACAAAGAGCACACGATTTGTTTTAGATTACCAAACAATTATTCGATTAAACAAGCATGCGAGTAGGTCGTTACCCTTTTTTTAGCGTTTAAGTTTTTTAAAGTTCGCGTGTTTTTTGTCATAGATTTTATGGTTATGATTATGATGCTCTTGTTCAAGACAAAAAACGAATTAAATATACTGGTGCTGGTTTAAGTAAGTAGAAAGATATATTGTTTATAAACAAAAAGCACGAGCTCTGTTGGAATATAAAGTAGCGATTGTTGTTCAATTTAATGCTAATAAGGTTTGTTCTAGTCGTTATGGAGCAAACAGAAGTTGATGAAGCATTGTTGAAAGGTATTGATGTTAAATTTGGTCTGTATTATTATAAATATGTAAGAATGGTAAGTAACATTGGTTCTCCTTTCTGTTTACTTATGATTATTTATTTATTTACTTTTCAGCCTGGAGAAGAATTGCCGGACAATATTTTTTCCCGTTTAACAGTACCAGTGCGTATTGACCAAACGGAGCACGCCGCTGCACAACGATTATCTATTATGCCACGTTCTTCAAGAGCACAACGACAAACAACAAGATTTTTAGATGTATCTGGAGTTGTATCTAAAGAAATCACACACCATATTTTGATACTTCTGTTATTTTAGTGTTTCAAAGATAAAACAAATCCAGTGGTCCCAGGAACCGAGGTTAGTGGACGACAGTATTATACGTTAATATGTTTGCCAAAATTGTAGTTTTTCCATTGTTTATTTATTAATGCTATTACTTTTTTGATATTTTCACAACTTGAAAATGCATGAACACAGATAACAGTCCTACTTGTCATCTCCAGACAGTTCATAGTTGAACTATAAATTTCACGGACGGGAATAAATAGGCCCTCTAGCTTCAGAGTCATCGCTACCAAACTCCATAGAGTCTTACATTAGCAGGCGAGCGTGTATAAAATTAGACTGTAACGGTAGTAAACACACGTATGAAGATGAAAACTAACAGACCCGCACTAGTGGGTAGAAATGTGCAGATGGATCCATCAGATTTGTCGTTTTGAAAAGTATCGTTAAGATAAGTTCTGCTGTGACCAACAATGTATATTATATAATTCAACTTTGAACATATTTTGACTTTTGATTCCACTCTTTAATTTTTAGACTGAATTAGCACCAGCATCTCTGGCATCAATACCAAGTGAATCGATTCCAATTTTATCATCCCATATTGTTTCTCACTATCCACGTTCTCCAACTGTCATAGTATGTGAATAGCACATCGCAACTTAATTGTTAATATTTACATTCTTTTCTTTCATACATTTAGGGTATTAATGAAGAGGCATCACGTTCTCCAAGTTTTCGTTATTCGAAACGAATTACATCAACATCAGCATTATCAAGAATGAATAATAATCATACTGCTATGAAACGTTCACAGACACAACTATTAGAAATAAATGAACAAGAATTTGTTCGTGATGAAAAAATTAAACGTATACGAACCAAATGGGATTTATTCTATCAAAGAGCAAAAAGTTATCTGGATAAAATCGAAAATGTTGCTGATAATACATTGGAACAAAATTTGCTTGATATTAAATTAAATTTATTTGCAACATTAACTGAAAATATTGACGTTTTATTGAAAAATGGTGAAATTTGATTGTTATGTGTATATCTATATTTTTTGAATATATTTGTTCTTCTCACTTTTTCACTATGTAATGCTAGATGTAATTTTATTTATTTGAAATGGATGCTGGATAAGACACTCATCCGTTTTTTTTCTTAACTTTTTGCTAAATAGTTGCTCGAAGTTGTACGCATATCTTTTCATACTGTATGTATTGTCTGTATGAAGTATTTGGAAATATGATAAAATATATTTCAGTTACGTTTATTAGAACTGAATAGAGAAACTGTATTTTGTATCTTTCAAAGAACTGAGAGGAACAGAAAGATAATTGTTAACATTTTTTGT